GAAAAAAACAATAAAACGTCAAAAAACAGTTATGGAACCGTCGTGTAATCGATTTTTGCCTTGATTTTTTTGACGCCACTTTTAGATGTCAATTTGATGTCTTTTTGACATCAAGGAAGGCCATTTATATTAAATTGTTCTGAATATTTGACAAGTTTTTTGTTTATTGCATCGCATTGGCATCTATCATTGGTGTAAAAAAAAGAAAACACGTCCGAATACACATTAAAACATCAAAAAAACTAATATGGAACCGTCATATAATCGATTTTTGAAGCATGTTTTGACGTCAGTTTTAGATGTTAATTTGATGTCAAGGTAGTTCACACGCAGTGTAAAGATACAAATGTATAAATAAAAATATAACATTTTTTATATTGTAATATTTTTAATAAATAGATTTGATGTAAATTGACTACCTTGACGTCAAAATTACATCAAATTGACATCTAAAATTGGTTTTAAAAAAAACAGGAAAAAACAATAAAACGTCAAAAAACAGTTATGGAACCGTCGTGTAATCGATTTTTGCCTTGTTTTTTTTTTGACGCCACTTTTAGATGTCAATTTGATGTCTTTTTGACATCAAGGAAGGCCATTTATATTAAATTGTTCTGGATATTTGACAAGTTTTTTGTTTATTTGACATCAAGTAGGCACTGTTCACATGCATTGTAGGGATACAAATGCAGTGCAAATTGGTCATTTGTAATTGAAGCTTTCAGATGAATAAAACTTTTCTTATATTGTAATGATTTTATTAAATCGATTTGATATAAATTTACTATCTTAATGTCGAAACTGCATCACATTGGCATCTATCATTGGTGTAAAAACACAAAACACGTCCGAATACACATTAAAACATCAAAAAACAAATATGGAACCGTCATGTAATCAATTTTTGAAGCGTGTTTTGACGTGAGTTTTAGATGTTAATTTGTTGTCAAGGTACTGTAGTTCACACGCACTGTAGAGATACAGTCATTCATTCATTTTCTTTTTGGCTCAGACCCTTTATTAATCCGGGGTCGCCACAGCGGAATGAACCGCCAATTTATCCAGCAAGTTTTTACGCAGCGGATGCCCTTCCAGCCGCAACCCATCTCTGGGAAACATCCACACACATATTCACACACACTCATACACTACGGACAATTTAGCCAACCCAATTCACCTGTACCTACTGCGCCACTGCCTCGCCTTTGTAGAGATACAAATGCAGTGTAAATTGGTCATTTGTAACTGAAGCTCTCAAATGGATAAAACTTTTCTTACATTTTTATTAAATCGACTCAATGTAAATTGACTACCTTGATGTCAAAATTACATCAAATTGTAAAAAAGCATGTGAAAAAAACACATTAAAGCGTCAAAAAATACGATTTTTGACGTGTTTTTTTGACGCCACTTTTAGATGTCAATTTGATGTCTTTTTGATGTCAAGGAAGTCCATTTATATTAAATTGTTTTGGATTTTTGACATGTTTTTTATGTTTATTTGACATCAAGTAGGTGCTGCTCACATGCATTGTAGGGATACAAAACGCAGTGTACATTGGTCATCTGAAATTGAAGCTCTTAGATGAATAAAACTTATATTGCAATATTTTTATTAAATCAATTTGATGTAAATCGACTACCTTGATGTAAAATTTGTATGAAATTGACATCTAACATTGTCAAAAACATATAAAAAAAAAACATGTGAAAATGATTATGGAACAGTCGTGTAATCGATTTTTGATGCGTTATTTGATGCCAGTTTTAGATGTCAATTTGATGTCATTTTGACATCAAGATCGTTCACATGCATTGTAGAGATACAAATGCAGTGTAAATTGGTCATTTGTAACTGAAGCTCTCAAATGGATAAAACTGTTCTTACATTTTAATTAAATCGATTCAATGTAAATTGACTACCTTGATGTCAAAATTACATCAAATTGTAAAAAAGCACGTGAAAAAAACACATTAAAGCGTCAAAAAATACGATTTTTGACGTGTTTTTTTGACGCCACTTTTAGATGTCAATTTGATGTCTTTTTGATGTCAAGGAAGTCCATTTATATTAAATTGTTTTGGATTTTTGACATGTTTTTTATGTTTATTTGACATCAAGTAGGTGCTGCTCACATGCATTGTAGGGATACAAAACGCAGTGTACATTGGTCATCTGAAATTGAAGCTCTTAGATGAATAAAACTTATATTGCAATATTTTTATTAAATCAATTTGATGTAAATCGACTACCTTGATGTAAAATTTGTATGAAATTGACATCTAACATTGTCAAAAACATATAAAAAAAAAACATGTGAAAATGATTATGGAACAGTCGTGTAATCGATTTTTGATGCGTTATTTGATGCCAGTTTTAGATGTCAATTTGATGTCATTTTGACATCAAGATCGTTCACATGCATTGTAGAGATACAAATGCAGTGTAAATTGGTCATTTGTAACTGAAGCTCTCAAATGGATAAAACTTTTCTTACATTTTTATTAAATCGATTCAATGTAAATTGACTACCTTGATGTCAAAATTACATCAAATTGTAAAAAAGCACGTGAAAAAACACATTAAAGCATCAAAAAATATGATTTTTGACGTGTTTTTTTTGACACCACTTTTAGATGTCAATTTGATGTCTTTTTGATGTCAAGGAAGTCCATTTATATTAAATTGTTTTGGATTTTTGACATGTTTTTTGTTTATTTGACATCAAGTAGGTGCTGCTCACATGCATTGTAGGGATACAAAACACAGTGTACATTGGTCACTTGAAATTGAAGCTCTTAGATGAATAAAACTTATATTGCAATATTTTTATTAAATCAATTTGATGTAAGTTGACTACCTTGATGTAAAATTTGTATGAAATTGACATCTAACATTGTCAAAAACATTTTAAAAAAACATGTGAAAATGATTATGGAACAGTCATGTAATCGATTTTTGATGCGTTATTTGATGCCAGTCAATTTGATTTCTTTTTGACATCAAGATCATTCACATGCATTGTAGGGATACAAAATGCAGTGGAAATTGGTCATTTGAAATTGAAGCATTCAAATGAATAAAACTTTTTTTATATTGTAATATTTTTAATTATTCGATTCAATGTAAATTGACTACCTTGATGTCAGAATTACATTAAACTGACATCTGACATTGGTGTCAAAAACGCATCGAAAAACATGTCAAAACGATTATGGAACAGTAACGTAATCAATTTTTGACATGTTTTTTTGACGCCAGTTTTAGATGTCAATCCAATGTCTTTTTGACATCAAGGTCGTTCACATGCATTATAAGGATACAAAATGCAGTGTAAATTGATCATTTGTGATTAAAGCTCTCTGATGAATCAATCCTTTCTAATATTGTAATGATTTTTTTTCTATTTTGGTGGTCAAAAAGGCATCAATGTGTGGATGTCAAAAGGACGTCAAAATTGTGACGTGTTTTTTGACGTCACGCTTAAAATTTAATTTGATGTCACAATAATGATGGATTGCATTGACAAAAACATCTCACAAGTCAGAAAAAAGTCTGTTAGGCTATAGATACTGTGGCTTCACATGGAATATAATATAATAATATAATATTTTATCATAAGTCCCATGTAATTCTATAAAATCCCCCCAAAAAGTTGATAGTCCCAGTTGGCAATACCATGGTGGTGAATGAATTCCCTAGTTTAATACAGTACCATAGTACACCACATATTTTCAAAAAGTAACATCGAAAAAGCCACTTACTTAGTCTTTTCTAGTACTCAATTTGTTTTATACTATGATAGTTCAATATGAGTTTAATAAATCATTGATGATAGCAGATCATAATAAGATGGTACACTGATTTACTGTACCATGGCAGTACTGAATAATGACCATATTTATAAACATTTAAGGATTTTAACATCGGTTTTCTGTATCCATCCATGGTTTTCAGCAATCTCTCCATCTTTTGACACTGAAGATATCATATAATAAAGATGAACTACATTCTATACATTACCAGACTAACAAATTAAGATGTTTTACAACTACAATGGCACACATTTGAACAAGAAACACGATAATACTTCAATATTTTTGAGTCTTGGAGAGTGGAGAAATAGGTTACCATGGTACATTAATGGTAATACCATGGTGACATCATAGTAACACTATTCCACAGATAAAAACATGGCATATTTATATATCCAGTAGTCCATTTTTCTTTTGTTCTGTGGTAACACAATGTGACATTATGATACAGTATTTACTGTACCATGGTACTGAATGATGACCATACTGTATTTAGGTATAACAACATTTATACATATGGTAATATTTAAGTACTTTTGTTAGTCTTACTTTGCTCTATCCATCCATCCTTCTATCCTTCTATCTATCTATCTATCTATCTATCTATCTATCTATCTATCTATCTATCTATCTATCTATCTATCTAATACATAACATGTTACAGAAATGTATCGTGCACCATGGTACTGAATGATTACCATAATTTTATACCACGGTACATCAATTTACTTTAAAATCAAGACAAAACACGGTATTACCACATTAACAAATTATGGAAATACTTCTAAGTGGCTTTGTCTGGTTTTCAGTAATCTGTCCATCTTAAAATTAAATAAATAAATAAAACAGCAGTACAATGCGACAATTAAAGTATGATGAACACACATCTATACATTACCTGAGTAAATCAACGTATTTTGTGGCATTAGCCTGGCACACATTCAAACAAAACAACAAGATGGCAATACTTCATTACTTTTTAATAGTCCGTTAACGTTATCTATACACTGAACGTACTGTGGTAAAATCTGGTACCATGGTAACAACACAGTAACGTTACTCCACAGATAAAACATTGTATATTTAAACAGAAAAACACGGCAAATGAGCATAAATAAGGAAATGTCATGATCCATTTCTTAAAATTAGTGTCAGTAAATGATGGTAAATATGAGAAAGTTTACCTTCAGCTTTATTAGTTCCCCTTCTTCTTCGTGTCCATCCTCAGGTTGTTGAATTCAGACGATCTTTTCACCCTCATCTGATCCTTCTAGCAGCACCAGGTCTTGTTTTGACAATGTGCTGAATCTGATGTGATGAACCCTGTTGATGTGAGTTTGGTGTCATTAAATGATCCTCCGTGTTCATCACACTCTGATTCACGCGCACTGGAGAACCGCGCGCAACTTTCCCCACACAAAACAACTCCAGTCATACAATATGCGCGCGCACATAGAGACACCGAAAGAAAAATAAGTCTTATGTGGGTCAAAATACAGTCAAATGTTTGGTAAAAATACATATAAAATTAAATGAAATTAAGTAATCTATTTGAACATCTCGTCTGCCGTGATATAATAGTACGAATTATTACAGTTATTTGGGGAATTATAAATAATAGTAACGGACAGACGAGCATGCAAACACATAAGTTTGCTAATTATGTCATAAATTAGATCAAAACCAAGAGTGGAAGTGTTGAGGACACAGCCCACCGGAGAAAAGGTAATGCACTTCACTTCATATCCGCTGGATGTCGCCAGAGGATAAAGAGGAGAAAGCGCGCGAAAACCAGAGATCCTGTCAGAGAGATAAATTACGACAAATTAACTTATTTCAACAATGTAAAGACAGTTTAGCAGTATAAAAACGGTTAAAAAGGGTAAATAAATCACAAATTTAATTCGATGACAACGCAGGAAGATGCTATCATATACAGTTGAAGTCAGAATTATTAGACCCCCTGAATTATTAGCCTCCTTTTTATTTTTTTTCCTTTAATTTCTGTTTAACGAAGAGATTTTTTTCATCACATTTCTAAACATAATAGTTTTAATAACGCATCTCTAATAACTGATTTATTTTATCTTTGCTTGATGACAGTGGCCTACATTATATATTTGACTAGATATTTTCAAGACACTTCTATACAGCTTAAAGTGACATTTAAAGGCTTAACTAGGCTAATTAGGTTAACTAGCCAGATTAGGGTAATTAGGCAAGTTATTGTATAATGATGTTTGTTTGTTCAAATAAGATTTTTTTTTTCCAGAAGAAAAAATGTTATCAGACATACTCTGAAAATGTCCTTGCTCTGTTAAACATCATTTGGGAAATATTTAAAAAAGAAAAAAAAATCAAAGGGGGGCTAATGATTTTGACCTTAACTGTATGTGTGGACACACCAACTCTATAGCACATGTAAGGTAATTATTAAAAGCTGAATAATTCAGGAGTACATACACTGCTACATTTAAAAACTTAATCACTAAGTCAGTCTTCTGCAGACAGGGATCTCTTATGAACATTGCCCATTTTATTATTGACAATGTTTTTATTTTGCCTAATAACCATTTAGTAACAAATGGTAAAATTTCAAAAAAAAAATTTATTTTTTTTTTTTTGCATATTGAGCACACTTTATTATGTATACTAAAATAGCTAGGAACTGCAGCTAAAAAGTGTAGCTAAACCATGTTTAATTTGAGGTTACTAATGGTGTACCTACAAAAACTTTTTTGTACTAAAACTATGGTAATTTTTTCGATGAGTTTTTAATATTACAAAACTACTAATATCAATTAATCCTTATGTGAGGGACCACCATCCTAAATATAAACTTTTATTAGTTTCCATGGTATAAATACATTTAATTAAATATTTTTTTAAATGGGTAAAATATTATTTGGAAAATATTTAGTAAGAATCTACTAAGTTATTAATTCATTCATTTTCTTGTCGGCTTAGTCCCTTTATTAATCCGGGGTTGCCACAGCGGGATGAATCACCAACTTATCCAGTAAGTTTTTACGCAGCAAATGCCCTTCCAGCCGCAACCCATCTCTGGGAAACATCCGCACACATTCACACAAACACTCATACACTACGGACAATTTAGCCAACCCAATTCACCTGTACCGCATGTCTTTGGACTGTGGGGGAAACCGGAGCACCCGGAGGAAACCCACGCGAAGGCAGGGAGAACATGCAAACTCCACACAAAAACGCCAGCTAAGCCAAGGTTCGAACCAGCGACCAAGCGACCTTCTTGCTGTGAGGCGACAGCACTACCTACTGCTTCAAGTTCAATACTCTTTAATTAATGGATTAAATGAATACACCCCTTATATTTTAATTATTTTGAATTAAATAACATTTTGATGCATTTATTAATTTACTTTTTTGCATACTTTTATAAATGAGCAATTCCATGCAAATGTCAACCTTGCCATGAAAAAAAAATGTAGTTTTCATTAAAATAGCGAAACCCTACAGTTTTTACAGTAAAAATACTTAAACATGTCTCTGTCAATGTTTACAAACGATTATATTTGATTCACCAAAGTCACACAAGTGGCAATTTCACATACGTCACATCCATAACAAAGATTTTCCCTCATAAATGCAAAAAATGTCAAATTAAATAAAATCAAAAATTTTTGTTCTATTGTTTGCCAACTCATATCCTTTTGATTAGCATTGTTTTTTTTTTTGGGTTGTGCAGTTTATTTCACAGAATTTCTTCAAAGTATGTTGTATACTGTAAACGCGCAGACCTTTTTTGTCACATCCATAACGCATGTTGATTTTTTTGTGCTCCCACAACTCTGTTGTTAGTTCTTTGGAAAAATATAAACAGACATTTTAATATAATGTTAACATATACTCTCTCTATGAATTTGTGTTTAAAGATTTTACTGCAAATGTCACATCCATAACGCTGGAATTGCTCAAATATAAATACATCTGTATGTGAGGGACCACCGTCCTGTATATAAACTTTTATTAGTTTCCATGGTATAAATACATTTAATTAAATAATTAAAATGAGTAAAATATTATTTGGAAAATATTTAGTAAGAATCTTGGTTAAATACTCTTTTAATCAATTAACTAAATTAATACACCCCTCATATTTTAATTATTTTAAGTTAAATAACATTTTTATTTATGTATTTATTAATTTACTTTTTTGCATAAATGTGATTATTTGTAAATATAATTAATAGTTTTTTTTAATTATTTTCCACAGTTAAAATTAATTATTGCAATAAAGTGAATTATTATTTACATTCATAATAGGCTATTGTTTTTCTCAGGGATGGGTTTACGGCTGGAAGGGCATCTGCTGCGTAAAAACATGCTGGATAAATTGGTGGTTCATTCCGCTGTGGCAACCCCAGATTAAGCCAAAAACAAAATGCATGAATGAATAGGCTATTATTACACTATTCTACCTACGTTTTTAATTTCCCAAGAACCCCACTAGCACTTTGTGGCCTCTCACTTTGAAAACCCCATTTACCCTTCACCTATTGAAAGAGTTTTTAGATTTTACAATAAGTGTATTAGTTTTAAGGATATTAATAAGCTAATGCGCCTCAAAACAGCGAGAAAATTTGCATTTAGATAATATAACCCTGGTATTAACACCCAAAGACACTTTTACCTGAATCAATCAACTATTTGTTTCTGTATGTCCCACCCTCTCTTCATGTTTTAGTTGAGATCACATCGAATTGAGAATACAAATATAGATTTCAAAGCACTTTATGGGACCTTTAAAGGGGGAAAAATGTCATCCTCACATGTTCAGCAAGCATACGGGCCTACAGCGCACACATATATGCGCATGATAATGTGAAATTGTCCAACCATTCAGTTTTCCTTCATCTTCAGCTCTCCCCTTTCAAAGATCTCTTCGCTTCAGCAGCAAGAGGTTAAAAAAAGCAACTCGCCACAGTCTCCATGCGCTCCAGTGCTCTTCTCTTCGGTCGTAATTAGTGCCGAGTGCTGCGCCTCTGGCCTCTCCATGTCTCAATAAGGTGGATGTTTCCTCTTCCACACCGCCGTGACAGAAGGCAGAAAGAGATCTAACAACAGCCATCGGACAATTTATTAAGGCATATAAGGGCAGGGTCACACAAAGGGCTAAGCTGACAGTTAAAAAAAAGAAAGAAAGTGTGATACTGCAGTTGTTTGCATCTTGACGGCAGAATTGTTATATTCCCCAACCTTCTGTCTCGCTACAATCCAACTCGCTCTTTAAGATCTCAAAACTCAGGGCTTCTGGTAGTACCTAGAATAGCAAAGTCGAGTTAAGGAGGTCGAGCCTTCTCATTTATGGCCTAAACTATCCTAAACTCTGGAATAGCCTTTCTGATAATGTCCAAGGCTCAGACACACTCTCACAGTTCAAAATTAGATTAAAAACTCGAAACTAAATCTTTTTAGTAAAGCATATACTCAATGCATCACATAGCGGTATGAAACATGAATGTCCTCCATGCAGGTTTTTGAATCTAGTACAATGAACAGCAGCTCCGCTAATTATTTTCTTCATTCTCTATTTCCACCTGGGGATACTCACCCCGAGGCCTCCAGAGATTATGCAGCGCCACTGAAGTGATCCAAGACCTTTGAAAAGAGGATCCCAAGATGTCCACATTCCCGGACCAGGCCGTAGCAGCTGCTGTGGTGGTCATGGAGGAGTAGAGAGCCTGAGACTGATTCCCGTGAGACTCCAGGGACCGCAGAGTCTTCGCTGACGTCCTGCGTTCTCCAGCCTCTGGCGCCTAGACTGCAGCTCTCCACAAAACATTTTGCTTTATGAGAAATGGTCGTGCCAAACTGAGCCATAGTTCGGGACTTGCAGAGCTGCGCATCAATAGTTTACTCTTCCCAGCAGTGAATATTAAAACACATTTAACTGAACTTAACTCATTTTAACTAAGCTCTGAAAACTGAACTGCACTGCTTCAATTCACTATAATCTTCTATGTGAAGCTGCTTTGACACAATCTACATTGTAAAAGCGCTATACAAATAAAGAGGAATTGAATTGAATAACAGAAGGCACCCAAATTACTGTACCACACAAAAAAGACCATTACTTAAAGAAACCCTTAGTTTAGATATTCGTATCAGTATTTTTTCTTCATTCTTTTATATCACATTTTACCTGTTTTTATGTTTTGTTTTGTTTTTACGCATTTTTATTATTTGTTTTTATTTTTATTTTACTTGTTTCTTTTATTCTTGTTTATGTAAAGCACTTTGAATTGCCATTGTGTATGAAATGTGCTATATAAATAAACTTGCCTTGCCTTGCCTTATTTAATTTTGTTTAGAAAATTCTTCAAAAAGGTAATGATTCGCACTCATCAAGTAATTGCTTCGTGCTGTTTTTCTTTTTACATTCTTCGGGGGATTTAAAGACACAAACGTTTCGGCACAATGCCTCCCTCAGTGTGCTTAGAAAATTCTTCAAATAAATTATACAAATATTTAATATGATTGATAATTAAAATAATTTTTGATTTTGAAATTGATGGTTTTAGGGGGGCTTAAATGACAGATGTACAGTATAGTATACAGCTGAAGTCAGACTTATTAGCGCCCCTGTTTATTTTTTTCCTCAATTTCTGTTTAATGGAGAGCAGATTTCTTCATCACATTTCTAAACAGAATAGTTTTAATAACTCATCTCTAATAACTGATTTATTTTATCTTTGTCATGATTACAGTAAATAATGTTAGACTAGATATTTTTCAAGACACCTCTATACAGCTTAAAGTGACATTTAAAGGTTTAACTAGGTTAATTAGGCAGGTTAGAGTACTTAGGAAAGTTATTGTATAACGATGATTCGTTCTGTAGACTATCGAAAAAATAATTAGCTTTAATCTAATAATTTTGTCCTTAAAATGGTGTTTAAAAAAATTAAAAA